GGAGCGCATTGCTGCAGTCTGTTGTTGAAGGACCTCAACAGTTTGCCTTGGGTGAAGGACACAGTGAAGATGGCGAACACAATCGTGAAGTTCATCAGGAACCATCACGCCACGCACGGTCTCATGATGTCCATCGATGACTCGTTGTCATTAATACGCCCGACAGAGGTCCGGTTCGGGTCAGTATACCAGATGCTGCAGAGGCTGGTATGACAAGGAGGAGGTGTTGAATGAGATGGTGGACGGAGGTTGTGCAGCGAAGTGGCGGGCATTGAGACGGTCGGGAGAGAAGCTGCCGAAAAAAGTCGACCTTGTCTACTACACTTTGAGGTCAGATGGTTGGTGGGCCATAGTCAGGAAAATTGTGGCAATTATGGAGCCGGTGTACAGCCTCCTGAAGAGGATGGACACGGAAGGAGTTTCTCCCACCAACCTCGTGGAGTTTGACGATCTCATTGCGAGGAAACTACCAAACGTTGTACTCACGAGGAAGGAGAGAGAGGATGTGATGGACAAGGTCAAGGACCGCGTGCAGATGATGCGGCAGCCCATTCATGCAGCTGTGTTTTTGTTGGATCCACGGAGGAGAGACCCAGGCTGGCTCAACGATCCGGACAGCGCCCTCGTGCAAAACGCAATGCGCTTCTTCTGCAGGCAGATCGGAGCGGACTGGGATTCGAAGCCGCACATCGACATGTGGGATCGCCTGTACGAGTTTTTGAGAGAGCCTATGGAAGGTGAAGTCAGGACAGATGAACACTTGTGGACACCAGTTGCCATCAAGCAAGCAATGCGGCGTACACCTGCGGACTGGTGGACCTTGTACTGTGGGGATGTTCCACATTTGCAATAGATCGCCATCAACGCGTTGGGAGTGTGGAGCACGGCGACACCCGCGGAGCGGAACTGGGCATCGATGAACTTTGTCCATTCGAAGCGCAGAAACAGTCTCACGCCAGAGTCCTTGGAGAAGCTGAATTACATTCACTGGAACATGCAGTTGATGCGTGTTCCAAATAGCAAGGACAGTGGCTACGCGATGTGTGGGGATCCTTCTTCAAGCCGTTGATGGAGCCGGCAGCGGAAGATGGAGTTGTCGAGGACGCCACGGAGGATGAGACAGCGGACAATATCGAGGAGGAAAAGAGGCAAAAGAGACTGAAGAAGACTCCAAAAGACCGGATTCCGAAGAGCCTTTTGGAAGACGACTCAAGTGTGTGGCAGACTGCGTAGCCACACGGGCCCTGTAGGACCTGTCCCGGACATTCAGCCTTAAAGCCTAAAACTTAGGAGCTACAGGCCCCGRTCGTTTCAGCCTGAAAACTGAAAAACGAGGGCCTGCAGGCCCTACTCCGTTTCAGCCTATTTCTGGGTCTTTCAGACCCAAAGTTTTTCCAGCCTGAAACGGAGGGCTATTCTTAGGCCCTGGGCTATTTTTAGGCCCTCATTTGTTTCGACCTGCCCTAARATTCAGGCACGAAAACTGGGTTTCGGAACAGGCTATTTCTGGCCTGTTCCCACGCCAGCTCGAGCAGGAGCTGCAGCTGCAGCCCCTGCCTCCCTTCGACATTATTGGCAAGAGCACGAGCAGGAGCTGCAGCTGCAGCCCCTGCCTCCCTTCGGCRTTATTGGCAAGAGCAGCCTCCTGGACTGCTYGCCCGAGTCAGGAGGCACCCGTGATAGTACATAGGAGCTTCAGGCACTGAACGGGTAGGCAGTTGGAGAGTAGGACGGTAGTCTTCAGATTTCGGCCGCAGCACTCAGGGGGAGCGCTGCAGTAGTTTTCAGCGCTAGGCAGTAGTAGTAGCGCTAGCTGTAGTCTTCGGCGCTGGGCGCCATAGCCATAGCAGTAGTCTTCAGCGCTGGGCGCTGTAGGTGGTAGGTAGTAAAGTGGGGAGAGACACTGGCGGAGGCCAGTGGTACGTACCTGTGGCGCCATCGCTCCAGCTCCATCTTTGAGGTACTTGCATCAAGGCGCCAACTTCACAGGTTAGTACTAGAGAGAGAGAGAGAGAGAGAGTTCTTCTTCCTCTTCTTCTCAGTCCACCATCTCTTCTTCCCCTCTCACCACCTGCTTCTTCTTCTTCTTCCTCTTCTTCTCAGTCCACCATCTCTTCTTCCCCTCTCACCACCTGCTTCTCAGTATCAGCGGACTACTACAGAGAGAGAGTTGTGACATGAGACTTGACGACATTGGATCCAGACTCGACATTGGGATTCAGACATTTTGACGAGGGACTATTTGGGCCTGTGCTGAACACTTGGTGTTGACGACATTCCCATCTTCCCTTCTTCTTCGTCTAACCCCACCTCCTTCGTCTGTGTATGGTTGGGGCTGGCGCAGTCTTCTTGTGTGAAGCGCCAGACCCCTTCGCACCATGATGATGATGATGTATGTTCGGGGCTGCATTACAATATTGATTGTTCGGATCATTGGTATCTAAGTCTTCCGCTGTGCTATCTTATACCTTGTATTGAAAGGTCGGTTCTTGTTCTGGTCTGCACCTATACGGTATGCAACAAGTGGGAGCAGCGATCTTGAGGATCTCTTGTGGAAGGGGAAGAGTTCGAACGAGTCCACTTCCAAGGAGAGTGACGGTGAGGATGACATTGGGAAGGACTCGGATTTCGAATTGGGGGGCAAGCCGGCGGTGCCATCCACTACGTACGTCCGTCTGAGGCTTAGGAGGCGAGAAAAGGAGGCAGAGGTGCTGCCTTCCGGGGCCATCGACAGACTAGACACTGATATCGAGTTCTTGGCGCACCCTACGCCTGATGCAGACGAGGAGGAAGCAGCTCGGGCCAAGGCTATGGCAGATAGGGATGCCGCTTTGGTTCAGAGGCGGATGTGTGAGGAGGAGGTTCGCCGTGCTGCTGTCCCCACCCGGAGGGAGAGAGAGAGAGAGAGCAAACAGGTCAGCCAACATCAGGAGCAGCATAGCGATGAAAAGGATGAAAGGGTGGACAACATGGAGGCAGATGAGGCTGCCGTGCGTGCAGAACATGAAGGGAGTTTGCAGCATGCGGGAGTGGATATTGAAGCACTTGGAGAAAAAAATGTGCAGCAAGAAAGAGAAAAAAGTTTGCTGCGAGAGGGGGGTGATATGAAGCTGCGGGAAAAACTCGGCAGCAAGACGGAGAGGAACTGCAGCAACCAGCACCACCAACGGTTTACGCACGAAGACCCTGCCCGCCTGCACTGCAGCAGCCTGCACCGCAAGAGCCGCGGGAGGACCAGCAGGCTGTGGCTGCGGAGCAGCCAGAAAAGCTCGGATCAACGGTGAGAGGAGCAGCGGTCCACTCCGGCAGACCCCCGTACCCAGCACAGAATGAGGATGCCCAACACGACAACATCTGGAAAAGCACGGCGGGGCGAAAGAGGAAGGCTCCGGTGAATGAAGTCCCCACACCACGTCGCCGCCGCGGGAGGCCCCACAAGGAGAAGACGGGGCACAAAGCTGCACCAAAGTCGGAACGTGGTCGTGGCAGGCCCCACAAACTGCAAGTCTCGGAGGATGACCCCGACTCAGATGGCGGCGGTGCAGAGTCGCCCGACGACGAGATTAGCGAAGGGGATTCCAAATGTGTGTGTGTGTGTGTTTTAGATTTTCCCCACAACAGCCCCAATTCCACCCAGGTGAATAGATTCAGAATCAAGGCAGTCTTTATCCTATTGCAGACAACGAGAGCATTTGAGATGTCCAACATATTAAAGCAATTCTATAATTAGACAGTTTTTTGGTTGTTCTTGGGGTACCCCTTTCATTGTTCTTGCAGCTCCCCTTTTACTGTGCCTCTTACGCGCAAGGCTGCCCACGTTGATTGTGGTTGAGCGGCAGCTGCCCACATCCCCGTGTGCCTCCACGGCCCAGTTGCACGTGATTTCAGGAGGCAGAGTAAAAGGGAAGGTATGCTCCTGTGCATCTCTTCAGAGCTTCATACTCCTGTCCATTTCCTTTCAGATCTTCAGCTTATACAGCCTTTGTGTCCGTCCTTCATCTTCATACTTCCATTCATTTTATTTCCGATCTTCATATCGTCTATACTCTTAATGATGCTCATTCGTATGTATTTGTTAGTAGTACAAAGGGAGTGGAGGGGAGGGTGGAGGGTAAGGGATAGAAGACGGAGTTCTCTTGTGTGTGTGTGTGTGTGTGTGTGCGTGTGTGTGTGTGTGTGTGTGTGTGTGTGAGAGAGAGAGAGAGAGAGTTTCACCGTGAACATGACAAACTGCTGCAGATCTTCATCTTTATTTAATTTTCTGTCATGAGTCTCATTTTTCCGTTCTTCTTCTTCTTCTTCTTCTTCTTCTTCTTCTCCTCTTTCCCTCTTTTCTTCTTCTGCTATTCTTCTTCTTTTTCTTTACCCTTCCGTTCTTCACAATCTTCTGCCTCATAGTATTGTCTGGCTTCAATTCCATTTCGTATGCATGATGTTGTTTGCAGGCCTGCAAACCCTGAACGCAACACCCCCCTTACCACTCTTGACCTCGACCCCCCCCACCCTCCCAGCACACCCCAAAAAAAAAAATCCAACATTCAAAGTTTTATTGTGGAATCCGACAGATCTCGACAAGCGCAGTCCGATCCCGTGAAGAAAAAAACGAAAAACAAAATGGGCATTTTTTTGGCCCATCCGGTTTGCCGGATGGTCCCCCCTGACCCGGTCTGGCCCCGGTTGGACCAGGCCAGCTCGACCGGCCGGTTGCCGGCCCAGCCCTGTAATGAACGGATTGAAATTATTTGAATAATAATAATTTGAATGTGATTCTCAATTCACACTCTTCTTTCTTTGTTTTCCTTTGCCCGGGAAGTCAGAAATTCAATAAGGTATCAAACTGGATATGCTATGCAGTCATCATTCCAGTATGCCATCCATCAAATGATTAAAATCTTAAGCTAATTAAAATTTAGAACTGCAAACATCGAAAACACTGAACAGATGTGATGGCTTCAGTTAGGGTTTTGCATCCATGGTCTGCACGGTAGACTCAATCTTACCAAAATCATATCTCACTCCGTTTAGAGTTCGTTTCTCAAGGGCATCACTGGGACCATCAACAACTTCGCCGATCTGAAAGGAGCCCGAAGCTCCCCATCACAGAACAGAAAACATTCGAACAACCAAACCCGCAAAACAGCATCACCGGTCAGAAACACCTTCAGGCTATCAAAGAACGATATGTACAATACTTCCATGGCATGATAGTGCCGTGAAAGCTCAATCATTGCCATGAAAAAAAAAAAAAGTTAGAAAACACCTTTCCATCATTGGAAAAGGAAAAAAGGGGCATTGTTTGGGAAGGGGTCAGTGGAGTGGGGATCATATTAACATGTTTTCTTTTTTGTATTTGTTATTTATAAATTATTATTATTATTTATTTATTTTTTTGAAAGACTTCCCTGGCCAGTGCTAGGGGTGCTGATAAGAGCAGGCACCACTAGCACTCCCGAGGAGGCTCCATCTATTGGTGGGGAGCAACACCTGCTGGAAAACGGGTCCAGCATCCCAGAACATTATATCAATTGGAGAACATCTGAAAGTAAGATATGATGCTGCCAGCATTGACTACCCCAGCAGACCTGGGGGGTTAACTGCGCAGCTTTTTCCGGAAGTTTCTGCCTCTTCAACCACCCAGGAGATGCCAGACTCTTCATCCGTTGCACTGGCAGCATCCTTCCTTTTCTCTCACTTTCCTTCCCCCCCGTACCATGACGATCCCACAATAGAAAAACCCGAGGGACGGAAGAAATCTGGGAAGTCTGACAGGGGTCTCAGGAATCATTTGATTCGTTTCTCAATCTATAAGCGGCATCCATGTTCAGGGGCCATGCAAGTCTTCTCAGTATCGTTCCGACGGTAACAGATCCCAAAGAACATATTTTAAAGGTTTCTCAGACAAGGCGATTAGTAATTCCTTTACAAGACGGACACATTCGATACAAGGCAATCGGTACTTCCGACGGCTACATGATGGATTGCTTCATCCTTGTCGACCTTGACAATATTCTGATCTACAGTTGAGCACTGGAGGAGCACTTAAGAGCACTTACACATGGTATCAGAGGGACTCCGCTGGCGCGAAAACAAAGCGAACCACAATAAAACTGAATAAATCCAATTTCCCCAGCAGAAGGTTATTTGGGTCGTTTTGTTACGCCTTGGGGCATCCGTCCTCTCAAGGACAGGACTAGCCTGAGCCCAACAATGTCACCGATGTACAATCTTTCCCTGGTTTGGCCAGCTAGTATGAGTGCTGCATCCATGACTACGCGAAGATTGCTGACCCTTCGTGTTTGGCAAGGATGCAATGACTTGCTGATTCTAACTGCCGAGATTGACTGCGAGGCTGTACACTAACCGGTAGGGTTGGATTCGTAATTTTGTTTGGCTGAGGGCTAACCGAGAGACCTACCTGTAAGGAAATTCGTGAGGGACATATCTGCAAATCTGGGAAAATATCGGCCCAGTACTAACTCGAATTCCTACAGCTACCCTAACGGCGTATAGCAGGCCCGGGCTACCCCTAGGACAGATAGGCCCTAAGTGGCCTATGCTGATAGATGGTCCTATAGCCTATAGCCGGGTCCGGTAGAGGCCGAAAGGCCGAAACAGAAACGGTACCGGTCAGTCAGTCAGTCCGGTCTAGGTATAGTGTAGTCTATAGATAGGTTAGGCACATCGGTTCAGGACTTTTGGCAGTTCATTTCTCGCGAAGCAGGGTTGGAGAAGCCAAGCAAGTTGGTGGCGGTGACAGTCTGCAGGCGGCATCCTGAGACCTCGCCGTTGACAGCAACCATAGCCGTCCCAGTTTGAGTCTGCCATAGCTGGGGCATCCTCAGCGCATCTACCCCTGAGGTATCTGCGTCTGGCCAGGCTACATCGAGGCTCTACACTGTGTACTAGCGGGTGGTGGCAGCCATAGCTGCCTGTTCCTTCGTCAGAGTTGTCCATCGGCACTGAAGACTTCATCGCAGGACCTGTTCTTCATCAGGGTGGTTGGCGCTGGCCATCTGGGAGGCCATTCTGATGTGGTGCTACTAACTGGGTGTAGGATAGAGAGTGGGGTGTGAGTTCTGAGAGTGGCGAGATATTGGAACAAACTCTGTTACGATAATTGTTTGAGTTGGCTCATCATCAGTGTAATTTCAATTGTTATCCTCGCAGGTTCTACTTGTGATTGGTTGTTGGGAGTTTGTCAGAGAGAGAGAAACATTGTGTGTCTTCTCCCCATGGGCGTGTATGAGATTGTTTGTGTGTGAGTGGCGGTAAAAATCGTCAGACAACCAAGATCATAACAGTTGGTATCGGAGCGGGATTGGAATTGGAACACTGAGGGTTGAGCGCACTGAGGCATCTTCTTCATCTGGCGATATACTGGCGAGAGCTTCATGGTGATTCATCTTCCCCAGTACTGAGTCAGCAGGGAAGAAGACTTTCTGCGGTGGATTCAGGTGTTCAGTGTTTGCACTGAGCAAGCGCACTGAGCCTGTCAGGGCGCTTGTCAGGAAGGTCTAGTTCAGGGCTAAGTCGCCATAGCCAACCCTGAGGGTAGTGTTGCAAAGTACCCCAGAGTGGCGAATTACCCCTGAGGACACCAGGGAACCCTGAGCTGCATCATCCCTGGGTAGCGCTGGCAGAGATTGACACAGTATATCAATCTCCAAAAGAAATAACCCCATCTAGGGCTATTTTTAGCATCGGCGGCTACCAGGCACTATGGCGAGATATTTTGTTGTTGGCTATCTGGGCACCACAAGACCAGATACAGTGCATCTGGAGTAAGGGAGTGCAGCGCTACAGGACCCTGAGGAGGACCAACAAGTTTGAAGTTGTTCTGTGCGTGGGATTGTCAGGAGGAATATCTGCGAGGTATTGGCGAGATAAGAGTCATCATCTGCCATAGCCAGATCTTCATCAACACCTGCAAGATTCTCTGAAAGTGAGTTCGTTCCATGCACCTACCTGTATTGCGATCCAGATAGGATTAGTTTAGTCAAGAATTATGGTCTATCTGTCTGTCAGTGACTAGATGTGAAAATCGCAGACTGCATGACAGCCATAGCCACCTCTCCCCTACCTCTCTCTGCTCATTTCTAACCCTTTGTTGACTCTTTCTGATCCAAAATTGTTTTGTGACTGCTGTACTGCATTGCGATTGATCTGGGATGTTCAAATTGTGAATTCTGCACTGGAAAAGTAGTGATACTGTGAATTGCAATTTTGCGCTGAGTCTATTTATAGCCTGTGCTAACTAGGGTCAGTCATAACTTCAATTCTGTTCGTCAGAATTCCATTCTATCAGTCCTCAGTGAATCGCAATACAAAAATAGACACTACTGCAGAATCGCATGATTGGATTTACAGTATTTCACTGGATACAGTGAATACTGTACTTCGCCATACCCCAGGGTATGGCCGTCAGAGTCATCAGGGTCTAAATTGGAGTCTGAGCTAGGTTATAGGGTGTCTGTCTAAATCGCTTGTTATGGTTGATCCCTCTTGTCTGTACTAACCATCTTCTATCATTCTCACTGATGGCACTTGTTTTCTAGTGGGCTCTAGAAATCTAGTGGGTCTCTGGAAGAGTAGTGGAGGGACTCCACTAACTCCAGTGTGGTGCAAGGTCAGTAAAAGGAAATCGTGTGCATGATTTTGTTGGACGTACAGTCTGTCTGACACCTGACCCCAGAGACACCCTTCCAACCCATATCGCTGATTGCCCATTCACCCACCTATTCCAGTGTCTGAGTTTTGCAGCGATTCAAGAGTGTCTGAAGGAATCTGAATACCGCTGCATACTCGGGTTGCTGTATTTTATTTTTGGTTATTTTTTTAAAGGGAAATGTCTGACCAGGGGGTTCAGCAGCAGCCACAGGTGGAAGTGGTGATGAAGGTGGAAGGTCAACAACCTTCAACCTCCACTCCTCCTYCTCCACCTCTGACTGCTACTCAGCAGGAAAAGAAGGAGTTGCAAGAGCAGCTGCGGCGGCAACAGGACCGGCTTGCARAGTTGGAACGTCAGGAGGCAGCTGAGCTAGAGGCTGCAACAGATTATTCCAGAAGGGAATATATGTTGCAGCAGCTAGACAAGGTGCTCTCAGATGACCGCTATGCACAAGTGACTAAGCACCTGGTAGAGATGATCATTCTGGAGCACAAGATCACCAGTTCCCACTTCACGAACTGGGATGATCGTTTTGATCGTTTGGAGCGTCGGCTTGACAATCTGGCCACTCAACAGTCTAAGATTCTGGATGCGATTCAGAACTTGACTGCTCAGCTGTCAGCCGCCAAGCTGATTGCTTCTCAGCTCCCTCTGATAAAACCCAAACCTTCTCCTCCTTCTACCCCTCCTTCATCTCCCCCCGGATTAGTGCATTCTTCCCAGACACCACCTCAGTCTCAAAGAGCCTCGGGCAAAGCCACCTATGCTGCTGTTACTGCAGGACATCAAAGAGGTCCCAAGATCCCTGCACCCAACAAGTTGTTGGGGATTGGGCTGCAGGGGCCAGAGCCTACTTGAGGGGCTTTGTTTGCCCAGAACAGACCAAGGTGGCAACCGTGCCTGCACAAAAGTGGGCTACTTTAACCTCCAGCAGTCTGCAGCAAACTATGGAGGACTGGGCTTTGGGACTGGGAGTGGACAGGCTTCTGCAGGCCTTGGAAGACCGCTTTGCAAACAAGGAGCGGGCCCGCAAAGCTGCTGACAGGATTGCTCGCCTGGGACAGCAGCGCTACGGCGGCTCCCTGCAATCCTTGTTTGCAGAGTTCGAGCAGTTGACTTCCACACCAGGACGGGTGATGTCTGCAGATGACCTGCTGACAAACTTCTGCAGGACAGCCCCTGAGAAGTTTTCAGTGGCATTGTACAACGCTGGACACAAGGACTGGAGCTCCTTTGGCCGCGTAACCCTGGACATGGAGGCAAAGCTTCATGTCCAGGCCCCATCCTCTGACAAGAGGAAAGGTGCCTCCCCTAGAGGTGGTAGAAAGGAAAAGGCAGCCTTCACTCATGCGGGATCCTGTCTCTTATACACATCTAGATGTGTATAAGAGACAGCCCTAGAGGT